TATCTATGATATATCTTCACTGAATTTTTAATTTAACATGTTTAGAATATATATTTTTAGATATTTCCTTTAAAAAAATTTGAAAAAGTTCAAAAATAGCGATTATGACAATTGTCACCTATATATGATACATCCTCACTGAATTTTTAATTTAACATGTTTAGAATATATATTTTTAGATATTTCCTTTAAAAAAATTTGAAAAAGTTCAAAAATAGCGATTATGACAATTGTCACCTATATATGATACATCCTCACTGAATTTTTAATTTAACATGTTTAGAATATATATTTTTAGCTATTTCCTTTAAAAAAATTTGAAAAAGTTCAAAAATAGCGATTATGACAATTGTCACCTATATATGATACATCCTCACTGAATTTTTAATTTAACATGTTTAGAATATATATTTTTAGCTATTTCCTTTAAAAAAATTGAAAAAAGTTCAAAAATAACGATTATGACAATTGTCACCTATCTATGATACATCCTAACTGAATTTTTAATTTAACATGTTTAGAATATATATTTTTAGCTATTTCCTTTAAAAAAATTTGAAAAAGTTCAAAAATAGCGATTATGACAATTGTCACCTATCTATGATACATCCTCACAAATTTTAAATTTAACATGTTTAGAATATATATTTTTAGCTATTTGCTTTAAAAATTTGAAAAAAGTTCAAAAATAACGATTATGACAATTGTCACCTATCTATGATACATCCTCACAAATTTTAAATTTAACATGTTTAGAATATATATTTTTAGCTATTTGCTTTAAAAATTTGAAAAAAGTTCAAAAATAACGATTATGACAATTGTCACCTATCTATGATACATCCTCACTGAATTTTTAATTCAACATGTTTAGAATATATATTTTTAGCAATTTGCTTTAAAAAAACTCAAAAAAGTTCAAAAATGGCGATTATGACAATTGTCACCTATATATGATACATCCTCACTGAATTTTTAATTTAACATGTTTAGAATATATATTTTTAGCTATTTCCTTTAAAAAAATTTGAAAAAGTTCAAAAATAGCGATTATGACAATTGTCACCTATATATGATACATCCTCACTGAATTTTTAATTTAACATGTTTAGAATATATATTTTTAGCTATTTCCTTTAAAAAAATTGAAAAAAGTTCAAAAATAACGATTATGACAATTGTCACCTATCTATGATACATCCTAACTGAATTTTTAATTTAACATGTTTAGAATATATATTTTTAGCTATTTCCTTTAAAAAAATTGAAAAAAGTTCAAAAATAACGATTATGACAATTGTCACCTATCTATGATATATCTTCACTGAATTTTTAATTTAACATGTTTAGAATATATATTTTTAGATATTTCCTTTAAAAAAATTTGAAAAAGTTCAAAAATAGCGATTATGACAATTGTCACCTATATATGATACATCCTCACTGAATTTTTAATTTAACATGTTTAGAATATATATTTTTAGATATTTCCTTTAAAAAAATTTGAAAAAGTTCAAAAATAGCGATTATGACAATTGTCACCTATATATGATACATCCTCACTGAATTTTTAATTTAACATGTTTAGAATATATATTTTTAGCTATTTCCTTTAAAAAAATTTGAAAAAGTTCAAAAATAGCGATTATGACAATTGTCACCTATATATGATACATCCTCACTGAATTTTTAATTTAACATGTTTAGAATATATATTTTTAGCTATTTCCTTTAAAAAAATTGAAAAAAGTTTAAAAATAACGATTATGACAATTGTCACCTATCTATGATACATCCTAACTGAATTTTTAATTTAACATGTTTAGAATATATATTTTTAGCTATTTCCTTTAAAAAAATTTGAAAAAGTTCAAAAATAGCGATTATGACAATTGTCACCTATCTATGATACATCCTCACAAATTTTAAATTTAACATGTTTAGAATATATATTTTTAGCTATTTGCTTTAAAAATTTGAAAAAAGTTCAAAAATAACGATTATGACAATTGTCACCTATCTATGATACATCCTCACTGAATTTTTAATTTAACATGTTTAGAATATATATTTTTAGATATTTCCTTTAAAAAAATTTGAAAAAGTTCAAAAATAGCGATTATGACAATTGTCACCTATATATGATACATCCTCACTGAATTTTTAATTTAACATGTTTAGAATATATATTTTTAGATATTTCCTTTAAAAAAATTTGAAAAAGTTCAAAAATAGCGATTATGACAATTGTCACCTATATATGATACATCCTCACTGAATTTTTAATTTAACATGTTTAGAATATATATTTTTAGCTATTTCCTTTAAAAAAATTTGAAAAAGTTCAAAAATAGCGATTATGACAATTGTCACCTATATATGATACATCCTCACTGAATTTTTAATTTAACATGTTTAGAATATATATTTTTAGCTATTTCCTTTAAAAAAATTGAAAAAAGTTCAAAAATAACGATTATGACAATTGTCACCTATCTATGATACATCCTAACTGAATTTTTAATTTAACATGTTTAGAATATATATTTTTAGCTATTTCCTTTAAAAAAATTTGAAAAAGTTCAAAAATAGCGATTATGACAATTGTCACCTATCTATGATACATCCTCACAAATTTTAAATTTAACATGTTTAGAATATATATTTTTAGCTATTTGCTTTAAAAATTTGAAAAAAGTTCAAAAATAACGATTATGACAATTGTCACCTATCTATGATACATCCTCACTGAATTTTTAATTCAACATGTTTAGAATATATATTTTTAGCAATTTGCTTTAAAAAAACTCAAAAAAGTTCAAAAATGGCGATTATGACAATTGTCACTTATCTATGGTACATCTTCACTGAAATTTTGATTTAACATGTCTACAATATATATTTTCATCTATTTCATTTAAAAAAGTTCAAAAATAACCATCATAACAAATGGCTCTTTTCTATGGTGCATCTTCACTTAAAAATTTTAAAAAATAACTATGATGAATAGTTAATCCAGAGCATTATAATTTAAAGAAGCTTTAAGTAACTTTCCCGCCTATAATATTAATATATACTAAATGTTATTTGACTTTTGGTCAAAAAAAATGATCTAGATATTGAGTTAAGGGTGAAAAAAAGCAACCCTAACTTTAAGTCATCTTTAAAAAAAAAGATCCATATTTTGGGTCGGATTAAATAAAACGACCCGATGTTTGAGACTGAGTCAGAAAAACGACCCAAACTTTGAGTTGGAGTCGAAAAATACGATCTAAACTTCAAGTTTGAGTCAAAAAATACGATCTAAACTTCAAGTATGAGTCAAAAAATACGACCCAAACTTCAAATTTGAATCGAAAAATACGACCCAAACTTCAAGTTTGAGTCGAAAAATACGACCCAAATTTCAAGTTTGAGTCGAAAAATACAACCCAAATTTTGAGTCGGAGTCGTAAAAAACGACCCATATTTTGGGTCGAGGTCGTTTTTTCGGCTTGGACTTGGGTCGGAGTCGAAAAAACGACCCATATTTTGGGTCGAAGTCGTTTTTTTCGGCTTGAACTCGGGTCGAAGTCGTAAAAAACGACCAAAACTTTGAGTTAGAGTCGAAAAAAACGACCCAAAATTTGGGTGAGCTGCGTTCGAGCCGACTCGGCTAAGCCGATTAACAACACTACTGGCGTTCTTTAATAAGAAACGATGTTTAGCTTATTTCATTCACAAGGAGACCTCAAACTTTATACAGTCTGATTTATATATATTAAAATCTAATTATTAAGAAAAATTAATATTTCATCACAAAATTAAGATTTTAACTTTATTGCATATAATTTACGAAACAAACATTTTTAATCTCATCATATTAATTATAATTATTTTAATAAAATTTATCATTAATCAACATTCAAATTTATTTAAACCCAATATCTTAAATATACTAACATTTGAATAACCCATCCTTACCTTAACCTAGTTTTAGTGAAATTAAGCAAAACAAAACATTTGTATTTATTCATTAATATTTTAATCTAACCAATTCTAATATATATTTAAAAAATTATATTTCGATTCGCTAAAATTTTGTGAAACCAGATTATTGTTAAATAATGGCCCGATTTGAAGCGATTTTTAAATAGGGTCTGATTAAGACTTTACTAAAATAATATTATGTAAGCCTGGAGGTTTTGGTCATAGATAGCAGAAAGGGTTGGACATCTATTTGCCAAATCTCGTGGCTTATTATTTTAGCTAAAATCTTAATCGTGTCGTTTTTAAAAATTGACCCAAATCGGGTCGTTTAACAACACTAACAGATTGTCTTGTAACTTATAAATACAAATAGCTATTTGTTTGCCACAATGAAGTAAACTTAAAAATAAAATAGAACTTGTAACCTATTTATCCATAATTACAACTCCTAATAAAATGTTAAAACTTAAGCAAAAACTATGATTGACCATGAAAGAATATTGTATTTTATTGTATTTGTCTGCCAATTATATTTTTGAATAGATTTATCATCGGCGTTTTAATAATTTTGGATAGATAAAGAATTTGAAAATTTAAATTAAGATATTAGAAATACATTATAAAACTGTTATTAACAGGAATCATCAGTTACCTCATACAAAATCAAAAACTTTACCAATAAGCTAATGCGATGTATTTTTAATTAACTTAATCTTATTGATAATGTAAGATTTATTTTATGTTGAATGTGAAATTGCATAATTGGTTATAACCCGGATAATAAAAGTAAATCTATATAGTTCTTACACAAAGATCACAATATAGTAGGAAGTAACTTTTTAGGAATTATATTTAAAAAATGTATTTGCGATTTCGAATTCGAAGGTTGATTTCAATAAAATTATTTTAATAAAAAAATTCGTAAATGATGAGCTCAATTATAAAAACGTATTTGAATTAATATAAGTGAATTGTAAATGAACATTTATTAATTAAATAAACCATAAATATATTTTATTTTATTTATTAGTTTAGACTTCGTTTGATATTTTATTGCCAATTTTATATTTTTCTAAATCCCATTGTTGATGAGGCGAGTTATTGCATTTTTCCATTGCTAATCTTATGCCATCTAAATTCATTTCTAAGCATAACTTGCTATTAACATGTTCGATTGACTTTTTCTATTTTATTTTCCAAAAAATTGCAATTTATTGTTAGCCAAAGCTATATATAAGTTAGGGTCAGGAAACAAAAAGTTTGAATTTAAAAAACAGAAATTTCAATTTTTTTTGGCAAAAACCAAAACTTCTAAAACCATTTTAAAAATTTGTTTTTATCCAGTTACTAATTACAATAGCAAATCAAATTTACTGTGTACAAGAATTTCCTTTCATAAAATTATCATGTATTAACAATTAATGTTATTAATAAATGATTTAGGAAAATATAAATTTTGTAAACAAGAAATTTTAAAACAGAATGATTTTATAATTCAAAATCAACTTTTTCAGCCCTATAATAAAATTATCAAAAATTTAATATTAATTTTAAATAATTTACAATTGGGTTGTAGACCCAATATTGATTTCCTTTTTGACTGTGACAATCAAATAAAACTGGAGATTTTCCAGCATAATCAAGGCACATATCATCTCGTCTGATTTCTCCATCTTTGCTTAACATCCAATACTAAAATTCAAAATTAGTAAAATTATAATAAAAATGAAATACTAAATTTATATATAGCTCTTTTAATCTTATTGTTTTTTTAATAAAACAAGGTGGCCTTTTGCAAATATCTTAATGTCTTTTTTCAATAACATTGAGCCTTTATTTTAGAAACAACATGTGACTTTTTGTAAAATGATAAGAAAAAATTGATGATATCTAATGCAAGCAAAACCGATCCAATTTGGACAGGTAGTAAGGCCAAAATGAATTTATTTATAAAAATATCTAAAAACCTTGTCAAAGTTAGCATTTAAATAATCTGGATAGGGAATGACTATAATTCGCTAATTAATATATTTTTAGACGTTAACAATTTTAAGGCTGCAAAATATTGCCTAAACAAGTTTTAGCCGAAAACTATCACTTTGGCCTCGAGGTTTTTCTTAAAAAGATAGCAGCTCAAATTTGGAAGAAACTAATATAAATTAAAACGCCTTAATGCTAGATTTTCTTATGCAAGCTAGATAGCACAAATTAGCCGACATCCCTAACCCTAATGACAAAAAGGGCATTATTATTTTCATCAGCAAGTACAATGTAAAAACTTCTAGCAAATATATTTTTTTCCTAAATTATAAATATAAAAATCATTCATTTTTTAAAAAATCAGAGTTAAAAATAAACTTAAAATTTATTTGAATTTTTCAAAAATCCCAAAAAAATAAAATTGGGACATTAGAAAGCCGGCCTGACATTAGAATTTTTATAACCTGGCCCTACAGCTAGGATTTTGAAATTTTTCAATGGGGTTGTAATATATTTCACGAAATTTGAACAAATAGCGTTAAAGAAAGATTATGCACATTAATAACTTTTCAAAAATGGTCTCATAAATTATAATTAACATATTTAAAAAGCAGTCAAACATGTGAATATGATAACGGTTCACAACACTATTTTGAAAAAAATGATATGAAAGTTGGTTTAATGTTCAGGGTTCGTTCTAATTAAACATTCTAATTCACACCCGGTCCCTGATTTGAATTTAAAAATATTTTAAACATTAATTATTCTTTGTATTATCTCAAATTATTTTAAACGAAAAGTGGTTGAAAACAATTACAACTATAATTCTAGTATAATTTTTCATGGAAACAAATAATTAATTTAAAAAGAATACCTGGTTTCCGCCTTGTCTATGGCAGGAATACATTTTAATCGGTTTATTAACACTTTCATGATTTGCAGCGGAGTCTAAACAATAATTAGAATCATTTCCCTTGTTCCTGATCTAAAAGAAAAAAAAAACCTTAAATATTTAAGATGCAAATGATTAAATGGCATTTTCAGTGGAGTAGTTAAGATTTTCTAAGGGGTGGAAGGTTGCAATTATATTTTACCATTTTTTTAAAATTAAAAGGCCTCAAAGAGCTCATCAAGATTGTCACCCAGACACGATTCATTATCATTCATACGTTAATGAAAAAAAAATGGAAAATTATAATATCCTGTTTGATGTTTCAGTGCGAGCTATCAGAAAATATCATTTAAATAATTGCAATCATAAATATAAATTATATTAGAAGATAGAGAAATTATTTTCAATTTTGATAAATTGAAGAAATAAAATATGAGGTTAAGAAGGATTTTTGACATACTATGCCCAGATGAAAAATTGTATAATCAAATTATAAAAACAACCAATTTTAGCCAAAAAACTTGAAATTAATTAATAATTCGCCAAATATATAAAACTTAATTATTTTAAAACTGCCCAGTCCAAAGTAATTAATAATGCTGCCCATTCCTCATTAAAAAAACTGTCTGAATAAGTTGTGGTCTTTATTTAATATATGTTTGGAATATGAAAGTTTTAAATTAATTTAATTCTGAGTTATAAAATATTTAATTTTGGGTTCATCTTAATACTACCTTGTCTCTTTTTTTTCCCACTTAAGCCATAATAGGTTAATAATAAAAAATGACATTTTCCTACCTATTATTTGATTAGAATTAATTCTTTAATTTTTATATCAAATTTATTGAAAAGAACCTAAAAATAGTTTTAAAAAAATTCAAAACAAAACTACAATACTAAATATTTACTAGTTCCTGTTTTTTGTTTCGTGTTAATCCTAGATAAATGGAGATTTTGAAAGACTTTAAATAAATCAGTCTGGTCTATGATCATTGCTAGGTCTAATCAAAAAAAACTATTAAATACTTCTCCGTTAGAATAAGCATCCGCGGGTACAAAAAGTTCGGGATACACATTATGAATGTACCAACTAAAATTGTGACATTTTAATCGTTCCCTTAAAGCTTTTCTCGCAGAAATATCGCCATATTTGCCCTAAATAAAATTAAATTTTCTAAAATTAATCAACTGCAGTAAAATTATTTATTTGAATATAAGCTATTCTCAATTAGCTCTTTATTAGTAAACTAAATAGTAATACCTCCAAAATGGTCACTAAAAAAACCGATTGATATTTTGACTCTGTAAAATTATGTTTCTAAATAGTTTCATGTTTTGGTATTGAATGATTTTTAACATATAAACATTTTTTGGAGAAAAAAAAGACCCATTTTAACTCTTATAATTTTTTAAAAAAATTCCATTATTATTTGAAAAGAAGTTTTTAATATTTAATTGTTAAAATTTTTGATGATTGTATGTTTTGATATAGTATTCATTGTATTTTGGGGGTTTGAATAAATTGCAAAAATTTCTATGTAATTTGCAAATGCCTATGTAAACTGCACATGCTGCAAGCATGTAAATTATTTCCATATTTAATCATGAAATAATATCAGAGTTATGCTTCTTTTTAAAGGCGCCACACATTTGTGGTCTTCCCACCTCAAAAGGATATATATCCCATTACAAAGTTTAGTAGGGTGCTCCCGATCCAAATTAAAAAAATAAGAGCCCTGATTTTTAGTCGCTCCTTCGAATTTAATTTTTATAATATTTCACAAAATAAAATCTTCTTTTTACCTATAATATTTTAATAGTTTTTATCCTGAAATGAGATATTTTTTAAATTGTAGGAGCTAACTTTTAAGAATGATATTGTTTTATTTATAACACTTTATAAATATATGGCCTTAATATTTGATTAATTTAGATGCACCTTTTTTAGAAGAGAAAAAAATATTTTCTATAGATTAGAAATGGAAATTTATATGTCTAAATTTTTTTCCCGTATGGGCGAATAAATAAAATTTTTGCTCCAATTTATATATATTTTTTATAATCGTAAATGAAATTTTATTCAAATTTTAAATGTAATAATAATAACACAGATAATAAAATGTTTTTATAAAAAACATATTAATTATTATATTTGGAATTTAAGGGAACATGACTCTCAAAGTTTTCATATAGCAAAGATCATCTTTTTCCACCAAAAACATCTTTGATAGATTAAATAATCTCTCAACTGGAGAACTATATGGGTTAGGGGTATTTTATTTTATGAAGAGGGATTTTAAAAGGCAAATTTTTAAATATTGTGAAATCGGATATGGGCTGATCTCTACTTAACAGCATTATTAAATATACCCAGTAATTTTTGCTATCCTGCAGAATTTGCAGTTTCATCTCAAACCGGTAATTTTGCTTTATTTTCAACACTCTTTACAAAAATTCTCATAAAATTTTTATTTATTAAATCTTCACAATATATTTATAATAATGTAAGGTTACAAGCCAAACCTTAGATAATCTCTTAACCAACGAATAACTGAGTTAGGATTTAGACTTGGATGCTCACTTACACAACCACAAGCAAACATGCTACCAATAACGCCCAACACAGCATTAACTGCACCCGTTGTCAAGGTCGCCATCTCTGTCATAAGCAATCAACAAAATCATCCATAACGCATTAAAATTCCTAACATCCTCTAACCAACTAAATTTTCAATGGCCTCAGACCCGACGGTTTAACCTGTACCCCCTGGTCCAAGCAAATCCCTTATTCGAGACGCAACCTGCGTCTCTTCCTTTCCTTCCTCAATTAATTCTAACCCTCTAACTACCGGAGAAAATCAAAAATATAATAAATATTCAAAACTCAAATATTTTATATTTCAGCCTATAGTCATATCAACTAACGGCAATTTTTCCCAGTCAACATATCTTTTTTTAAAAATTTTATCGCAGAAAATATTTAAAATAACTAAAGATTACCGCAAATCTATATTTCTCAAACATAAACTTCAACTTGAAACTTTTAAACATAATTATACTTACACTCATTGCAAAATTAAGCTCTTCTATACTTATAACGTCTAGCGACATTTTATCACGCGGCACTTTATCATGCGACACTTTATCACAACGACACTTTATCACTCAGTCATTTGATAACGTGACACTTTATCATGCGACATTTGAACACGCGATACTTTATCATGCGACACTTTATCATGATATACTTATAACTTAATTTAATATATTTAAAAAGTTAAATTTTGGTAATATCTCATTTTTTGACTTTTCAGTTTAAATTCTGATATTCAAAAAATTTAAATTAATTTTTTTTGCATTTTTTTTATTGAGAAAAACTCATATTTTAATTTTCATAAGTATATTTTTTTAAACTTAATTATCAAATTGAGGCATTTAACAATACTAAGTTACATCATTTTTTTTTTCACAAAAGTTTGAATTTAAAAAACACTATTATATTACGAAGATTTATTTTAGAATAGAAAAGCACCATTCCATTTATTTTATATTTAAAATCCAATTTCCGTTATTTTTTCCCCCCATAATTTATAATTTTTAGCCTAAAATATTTTTAAAATCAAAATTTTATGTTCTTTAAAAATAAAGAAATAAGAGACATAAGCTATAAAATTGATTACAATTTATACTTTTTATTAATAAGTAACTAAAGTAACTATAAATCAATATATCACGAGTAAAAAATATCAATTATTTATAAAATATTTATTTGAATGAAATATGGGCAATAGCCTTTAAAAATGTTAAAGAATCAGATAGTCCATAATTCAAACACATATCTGAAATCGATTTTTTATATCTTCATATTTCTTTGATAGGTAAGGTGTTGTTTCCCTTATGGCTTGAAGATATTAGGCCTTATGTTTTTGTATATATTTTTGAATCCCATCTAAAAAATTTCAAAGGTTGGGGGAGAACATTGGTATAGGGATTGAATTCCCCACCCTTCAACACAATTTGTTGTTCGGGCGACACTTTCTAACGTTTAATTGTGTTTGTTCCATAATTTTACATTATAAAGAGATTCTGCAAAATTATTTCGTTGCCCTATAAAGATATAAATTTACAACGAAAAATATAATTTTCAATTTTTAAGTGGTCGCGTGATAAAGTGTCGCATGGTAAAGTATCGTCGTGATAAAGTGTCGCAAGATAAAAGACGCGTGATAAAGTGACTGAGTGATAAAGTGTCCTCATGATAAAGTGTCGCCATGATAAAGTATCGCATGATCAAGTGACTCCAAATCACTTATATATACATTTATTTTTATTTATTAATTTTATATATTTTTATAAATAGTTAGAGTTATCATAATTTTTAAATTTTCCAAATATTTATAATGTAATATTATTAAGAAATAACAAATATTATCATTATTAAATAAAAAAAAAAATAATATAATAAATATCTAAAATATCAAAGCTTAATATAGAAATTTGAGTATTATATCACTGATAAGATTGAGGTAAGCTATGTAATGTAACACCTTACCACTTGCATAATTTCCTTCCTACAATAGAAAGAGTTAATAAAATTTAAAAAAAAACATTTGACATACAACAAAACATCTAAAATTGTGCTTCTTATATTAAAATCTTTGTTATGTTACAGTTAGACCTGTGCGCCGATGTCTCAATCAACGGCGGAGGTTTTTTAAAATTTTTTTATCGGCGTTCGGCGGCACGCCGATTTCGCCGCCGCCTACTAAATTTTCGGCGGCGGCGGCGCAATATTTATTTAAAAATTTTTTTTAATGAATTTAATTTATAAATCAATATATTTTTTAATGAATTTAATTTATAAATTAATGTATTACAATTTTTATAATTTATGTAGGCGATCTTTTCTAACACATTGCTAACATAGTTTAATTGATCTTAAATTATTTCCCGTCTCACTCCAATTTAAATTTATGTATTTTCTCATTCTCAGAAATAGAGTAAGGAATTGTATTTTTATTTTTACTCAATCAGAGTCATACCAACAACACATATAAGAAATATCCTATTGATTTTTATTATAATTAAAATAAATTTGGAATGCAGGCAAAATATGAAGTATGAAATATGATAAGTCAGAATTCAGATTTAGCAAAATTATAATTGTCATGAATAAACAGTATTTTATGAAGATTTGTAGGACATAAAGAACTCCTTTTAGCATTGAGTATTAATCCAGCAATGGAAAAAATTCTTTTGCTGAGTGTACTGGTTGCAGGTATGCAAAGAACCTTCCTAGCTAAATTAGCATGCATAGAAAGTTCCAGTCGCTTTTTCTTCCAAAAGCAATGCATTCTCTTCTGAAATGATATTTTGGCTGAGCAAAATATGGCATTCTTGTTTATGATTAGTAATATTGTTATAATCGCTAATAGGAAGGGATTGTTTTCGAGCTAATTTCGCTATATAAGAGCATGATGTACCATCCTCGACTTGAATTTCACGCTGATTCTATTGTTCTAAAAGTTTTAAATGTCGTATTAGAAATTGCAAAGATTTCGTAGAATTTGAATTTAAATATTGTGAAACAATATTGGGATTTTGAAATCTTAGATCAAGTAGAGTTGCTAATATCTAATGTTTAGAATATAATTTAATTAATAAAAATATAAAATAACTTGAAGTTCAGTGATCGGAAACCTATGATCAAGCTTTTTTTTCATATCTTCTTTTAAGCATATTATATCTGAGCAATCAGATTTATTGATTTGTATATGAGCTTCTATTTCACTGCTAAATGATAACCCTGAGTTTATTGTAGATCCTTTTTGGGAGGAAAGAAATTCCACCGACTCTCGGAATGGATTTACTTAAAGCTCATCTATCATATCCTATTCATTATTAAAGAGTTTTAAAGATTGTTTTCCTATTTTATTTAAAACATTATTTATAGGAATTTTGTTTACAATGCAAATACTTCCTAGCATAATTAATATGCTATGCTAGCGGTTTGGACAATTTATTTTTAAAGTTTTTGCATTAATTGGATTGGTTGGTGCAATGCCATTTCTATAATCCGATTCATCAGACATATCAAAATGGTAAGGTATAGATCAGAATCATCAATATCCAAGATATTACCTGTCTCACAAATTGACTGCAGACATTTACCATGTTCAGCCTCAATTTCACATTCCAAATCAGCTACTCGATATTTGAGGGCTGAAATAATTTCTCTAATTATTTTAATGAGAATATCAATCTTGGTAACTTTTTTTATGCCAACAACTGTAACCAAATTATGAAGTCCATGCCCTAAGCATAAATGATGCTCATAATCCCCTAATCTGACGCTTCTTTTGACATTGGCCCCAGCATCAGTTACTATTTGTATTATTTTGGTTTTAAATGGAAATCCTCTTCAATACTATCAATATCAGATAATATTGTTTCCCCAGTATGCTTTTGAGTCACATTTCTAGTTGAGGGTAAAATATTTTAAATCAAAATTTTCATCTAAATGTGATATAATTTCGACGCTTAAAATGATCGGTCCACAAATCAAAAGTGATAGAACAAAATTTTGGTCCAGAGTCAATCAAATTTAAAACATGCGCCTTCATAGATAAATAAACATTGCCTAGTGTATCCCGACTAATGGTTGTCCTATTTGGCAATTCTGACGAGGAATCAATTATCTTATATTTCTAATTTTTGAACAATTTATTTTTTAGTATCATTTTATATAAATTTTAAACCTTTAGAAAGTCTGTCATTCCTTTATTGTTTATAGAATCAAATGGCATTAAATCTAAGCAGACATCAAAACATAATTTCGCCTTATTAGATTTCATATTTATTTTAAACATTAGAAAGATATATAAAAACATTAAAATAGTTAGGGCTAGAATAAAACAAATTAAATTAGATATAGTATTAACTTTCAAAATAAAGCTTTACATAATTAATTTAATAAATTGTATATTAAGTTTATATTTTAAAAGATATTTAAAAACAAAATAATTAGAGCTGGAATGAAACAAATTATAAATTTGATTTAGTTTAACCTTTCTAATAAAGTTTTAAAAAATTATATATTAAATAATACTTTAAAAAGATATTTACAAAACACAAAATAATAAGGGCTGGAATGAAACAAATTATAAATTAGATTTAATGTTAGTATTCAAATTAAAATAATAATAATTTAATATATAAATATAATTAATATGCTTTCTAAAAATTACACACGCCGCGCCGCCGCCATAATAAAAATCGGCGGCGAGCCGGCTTCGCTGATCTCAATCGGCGGCTTTTCCGGCGTGAATAAAAATACCGGCGGCGCGGCGTGAGCCGGCGGCGCACAGGTCTAGTTACAGTTACTAATTAATAATATTTTTTAAATATTTCTTTTTCTGCTAAAACCTGAGTGGAATCTAGGCCCTAAGATGCTATATTAAATAGTTAATTAAAATAAAGAAAGATTGTTTGACTGGGATGGAAATATTTAATAATTATAAATATCAAAAGGTTCTTATATTCTAGGTTTTTATATTTAGAAGGGAATCAGAGATCCTATATAAATTCAAGTCTGCCCAAAATATATTTAAAAAAAATAAATAACTAGGAATATTATATCCCGACAGATCACCCTCAAGAGCATTTCTAGAGTCATTTTTTTAAGACTAATATTAATATGTAAGAAATTGTTATTTTATCAATTTAAATTTGAAAAAAAAGATATTTGTGGTTAATATTTACATAATCATGATTGATCCTTTGAAAATAATACTCGCCATATCCATCCAACCAAACCATCGCCAATCTAACGGAATTTTTTCTGAGAACATCTACTCCCGTGCTCCATTTGTAAGGACTTCTTTTGCGAAATATGTGCCCAATGTGAGAGCAAGGAATAAATTCTAACGTGCCTCCACACATCCATATCTATACAATTTTTATAGTTTTGATATATTGGTGTATGAATTAATTACTCTAAATGATAACTCTAAATTTTCTCCTCCCCATATATCCATAGCGGCGTCATAAGTTCCTATTTTTTCAAAATAGCCCCTGTGGATAGAAAATAATCCACCAGCCATCGTGGGAGAACTATAATTATGCAAAATTATATAAATAACAATAAAGCATAATTTTATCGCATAAATTTTAATTAGAAATTATAATTATAATCAGTGATGCACTAATACTGATTATCAATTTAAAATGTACTTTATATTAATATAATAATAAAAAAATTTAGATTATAACCAGCTATCGCTTATCTGTATTCATGAAATAAAAAAGAATACGAACATACGCTGAGAGTTTACGCATAAAAGAACAATCTTGCTAAAAATTTGAAAATTTTTTTAAAAAGAATTTAATTGTTATAATTTTATAAATTATTATTATAATAAAATATATAAATAACATTGATTTAATAATTAACATGAGCGCCAGTAAATTTTTTTCCAAGGTAGTTAAAAAAAATTGATTATTTTTGCAAAATATTTTAAGTTTCTAGTTTGACTTTTTATATATATAATCAAAAACAAATACAATCGAATAATTCACTATTTAGATTTGATTCGTAATTTATTTTTTTAAATATTATAAAATAATTCATACAAAAATATCTCTAATAATCATACTGCAAAAAAAGATATCTTTTGAAATATTAATTTACTAGAGAGGATCGATAGCCGACTTTCTTCTATTTTTCTCTCTTTCGGGAATAGGGTGCCAATTGAATTGTAGACCCCAGTCAAATCCGCCCAAATTAATACTTGTGGCTCCTGAATAATGATATTTAAATGTAGCATCGTCTATAACATCTATCACCGGGCACACCACGCGGCTTTCATCCTCCTTTATACGCTGCAATAAAGGCTCAGCCCAACCTTTAAAAAAATTTTATTGTTTAATAATAAAAGGTCGTAGGTTTAATACTAACCGTCAGCGCACTCAATATGAGAATCTAAGAATGTAATAACATCCCCTGTGGCATTAGCAGCACCGAATAATCGTGCTCTGATTAAGCCTTCTCTCTTTTTAGTTCTTATAACTCGAACTTTACCCAATTTAGCAACATATTTATCCAATTTTTCTTTCACGTGCTCTAAAATCCCAAAATAAAAATAACAATTATTATAGTATTAATTCTATAAATAATATAAACAAATCTTCCATCAATTCAAGAAATTTAAAAAGGAATGCACATTAGTGATCTGCATCGGGCCTAATTTTACAAGCCCGGCCCGGCCCGAAATTTTTTAAAAAAGTTTTGCTGGCCCGGCCCGAACCCGAAATTTTTTTTAAAAAAATTTACCGACCCGGCTCGGCCCTAATTTGTTTAAATATAGAAATTCATTTTTATAATTACGTAAAATAAAAGACATATTTTATATGTCGTTTAGTTTCAATAAATAAAATCAAATATTTTTACTTTACATAAAAAATTCAATATAAAATTGATAAATTTAGATATATTTTAAAAAAAATTCCAAAGTCCGACCCGACCTGGCCCGAATTTTTTTTAAAAATTTTAGTCCCGGCCCGAAGCCCGTTCGGGCCGGGCCGGGCCTAACTTTGCAGATCTCTAATATACATATCAACATTTATTTAACAGCTCAATTATTCTTATAAAAAATAAAAATTGAAATACAAGAGAAAAATTTGTAAATTATATAATTTATGGACCTTTATGGGAATCAAAAGTTTATAACTGATTGCACTATGATATCGAGTTATGAGGAATTATACTTAGAATCCAAAAATTGTTTAGTATTTCAAAAAGTGACCTATGTTTTGTTTTAGGTTTATATTTTTGTTTCAATTAGGCTCTTACTAAAATATTAACTGCAAATGAAGATCATTACAAATGATTGTGAATCACATATGGTAATCAAACACAAATGGGTCATAAATGATGAGATAGCGGTGAATCCCATGGTGGTGAATCACAAAAAGCCGTGAGCATAAATGGAAACAAAAATGGCGGTGAATCCAAAATGGCGCTAAATCACAAATGGTTGTGAATGTTCAAAGAAGATGAATCGTAATTAGTAAGGGATGAGTAAAAAAATATGACTAATCATATGATAGTGGAAAAGATAATTTAAAATTTTATAAACAAGTGATAAAAATTTATGGCATATATAAAAATCAATACGATAGAGTATATATTTATAAGTAGATTTTTTTTATTAAATATAAAATCAAATAATAATTCAGAACATAGAAAATTATAATCAAAAATAGTGATAAAAACTAAAGGGAATAGTGTATGATGTGAAAAAAATAGTATTAAAATAATCATGAGGAATGGGATAATTTGATTAAAAAATATATATTTAAGTAAGATCCTAATAATGTTAGGGTAAATAAACAATTTATATTATTTAATTATGTTATTATTTAATTTTAGTATAAATATATATATAATTGTCCATGAGCAAAAAGATATTAGGGTTTATAGCGGGACCTGAAAGAGTTTGGGAATGTAAAATTCCTATGGGTGTTATTATAATTATCAAGGGTATTTTGACGATAGAATAAGAACTTAGATATGATTTGATGCAAATTATTTCATCATTAAAGCAAAGAGCATATTTGTGGTATTAAAATGCGATGGAATAGGCTATCAATATTAGTAGATCAATCGAAGCCACACAAGAAACAGAAATAATTTTTGATTGGGATTAAATCATGTTGCAGAGTATCTTGACATAATCTGGTAAAAGATTCTAATCACTGAGTAATAAACCATTGCTAGATTTAAGCAACTTAATACTAAATTTATTCTGCTCGGTAAAGACGCTCATATAATCTCTCAAAGAAAGTATAAAAATTGATAAAATTACGTTACCTTCAAAATTATTATTATTTTGCATGAGATCTTTCAATTATCAACACAACGCATTGTATGTTTTTAATAGGTTTTGACAATATAATATCCAATGCCTGAGGAGATCTCAGATTTAATCGGGATAAAGTAGCATCAAATAATAACTTGATTGATTTAAAACTACTATAGATTATTATGCAACAAGCAAGATGAATTGAAGATATCCCAGAGTATTATCAAGAAATGTTTTGTCTAAACTATTAGGATCATCACATCGACAGTCTGTTTAATATATGGACCATCTCAAGAATGATCACCACAAAAGATAGGTAGAATGATACACTCGGGTTAAAATCTAATTTACTTTAATTTTTAAACATTAGATAAAATTATAAAGCATAACGCAAAAGTATTTATATAGCGAATAAGAATATATAGGTTTCTTTTCATAACAGGATTACAGGCAATATTGGATGTATAATAATCTATTTTCAACAGCTGATGATGCTTTTAAAAAATAAAGTTGTACCCGGAAACAGTATAAAGCATTATTGGGAATATCAAAATATAGGGTTCACGCAGGCAAACACTAAAGAAGAGTTATAAGTCTTAATTTATAAAATGGGTATGATAGGATTTTTATAATAAAATTTCTAAATGAAGGGGCAATTATTTTTTTATAATTTATTCTTAGTTATAGCAAGAATTTTTAATTTGCCATCAAAATGTTTTACAGCAAGAAAATTTAAAGAAAACACATTTTATTTAAAGGCACCGTGCAAATGCGAGGAGTGTTGTGGGGGGGGGGATATGATTACAGTGAAACGAGTGTTAAAAATCAACTAACAATAAAAGGGGATAAATATAATAAAATTGAAATTAAATATGGACAAGTAATTAATTAACAAGATTAATCGTTTTTAAAATAAAAAGAAATTATGTTGTAAATATATAATTTGTGATAAAAAATGGAAATTTTTTTTGATCTTCTTTGAGAATGTTCAAGTAAGATTTTTGATTAAATTTTATCTAAAATTCTAAATCATTTTTTGTAAAAAAGTCTTTTTGATATTTGGAAATATTTTAGAATTTCTTAAATGTAATCTAATTTGAATTTTGCATCCATTTATTTCGATAAAAATATGATAATACTATAAATTTTTATAATAACTTCGATAAAATAATTAATACATAAAAAATATAATTATAATTTATCAAAATATTATTTTGTTCCACGAATTTGATGATGGTACCTATTTAGAAATTAAAAGAGTTAATATTATAATTATTAATACAAATCAATTAAAAGGATTACCTAATTAATCAGTTGCCCGCGATAACCCAACTACAAATAGTTTTGCATGTGATTGTAAAAGTTAGTAAAATCATAAGGAATAAATCCGTGTAAGAGCTGAATAATATTCCCAATAATTTCATATCTTGAATTAGGGCAGGGGTTTATTGCTCGATATTTATTTTTCAAGATTCCAAAAAAATTTTTGATGGGATTTAGCTGAGGTGAATATGGTGGTAGATATTCAATCCTATCTTTATATGCAACGATAAGATGGCTTCTATGGATAGATGCATTATCCATCACAATAATTGCATCTGGTGGTAAGACACTGATAAGCTCTGTCACAAAATCACGGAATAACAACCCATTATAAGCTCCTTCGATTATTTTATAATGGATACCCCTCCAATTCCAATTGTACAAAGTATGCTTACATTTTTACCCTTGGAGGGTGGAATTTTTATTATAGACAGACATTGGTACAACGTGCAAGTTTATTCCAGTTTCATCTAAGAAATATAATTTTTCTCTTGGGGTATTTAAGATCTTTACACAATAGACTTGACGAATATTGATTGCCCCAGGAGTATTTCTTCTATCAGGCTTCTTGCCAGCTCTTTTTTTTGACCAACCTATATTTTTTATATATTTGCTAATTGTTGTTTTCGTTTTTGGACTACCGGGAGGTAAATTTCCTATTATCTTCTGGATAGTAAGAGTATTATTATCCATCAATAAATTTATGATGCGTCTTTCAATTATGGAAGTATCTTTTTTTTAACTTCCTCTTTTTTGAATATTATATTCTTTTAAAGATTTCCATTTATATCTGGGAATGTGTCCCGTCTAAATTTATGAACTGATGCTGTAGACATTTCGACGTATTTTGCAATGTCTTTAATCTTCATCTGTTCTCTTTCAGGCATTGATAACATTTTAGTAACTATACCTATTTTTTCTTTATTCCAATATTTGTGTATTCTTTTTGGTCTTTGAATTCTCGACGAAGATTGGGAGTTTTCATTTAAATTGAAAAATTAATATTACTATTGGATAATAAAGATTCTATATTAAACATTTTTTTTTTATTTAAGAAAAATTTAAAAAATTAATAAATATTTTTTTACTTATTTAAGAAAAATTTAAAAAATTAATAAATGTATAACACATTTTTTTATTTTTAATTAAATTTCCAACACATTTCGTTTCAACGATTAATTTTGTTAATTAATTACTTGTCCATATTTAATTTCAATATGTATTAAATTAATATAAAACTTTATTATATTTACCCCTTTTTATTGTTAGTTGATTTTTAACACGTTTCACTGTATTTTCAGTAATATAAAAATTATGCTTAATAAAACAAAGCATGGTATAAGCATATATTATTTTATTTTTCTAAAACTATTTTTTTTATAAATTAGCGACAGAGAGAAACGAATATTATATTACATTTATATTAAATACTGTATACAAAATTTGAGATTATGTTATACAAGTTGAGTATGATTCGTGCAAAATATTACGTTCAAATTTTAAAACTGAAAACAAACCAACAGTGTTTAAAAAATATCGAAAGGTGCAATGTGGGGTTTACAATAGAGACATTTGACTTGACGCAGCTTGTATTTCATAAAATATCTAAATAGGTAATGAATGCAATAATATTGAATTAATTAGGTTAATTATTAATTTATAATTGTCTTTTACATGGATTATATTTATAGCAATTTTAAAAAAATCCTGCACTACTTACATTAAATAATTTAAATTATAAACCTAAAATATTTTAGATTTCATTGTATAAATGTAACAAGAATGACCCATATATAGGACAGATTCATTTATATAAAAGAAATAAATATTTTCCAGACTATCACAGGGTTTTAAAATATGATTTTTCAAAATATTATCGGCCTGATTTGTTCTAGTAAATTAGGTGTGTTTGTACATCTTTAATGTGATGACTGCATATATAAAATTTTATGTGAAGTACATACCCATATCAGAAAAATCATCGACTAAAATAATTTCTTTGAGCAGGCGTGATGGTGTCCGATCTATAATTGAATGAACACCTCTTAACAAAACCGAAAAGGCTTCGTTGTGAAAGCACATAACAATACTTGTCGTTGGAAGATCATAATCATATTTTATCGCCAAACATCTATATTTTAGATACATATAAAATTATTAAAATTACCATGAAACCGACGATTATAAAAAAATATATATAGCAAACCCATAAAATATATGAAAAAGAAAAATATTTTAAAAAACATATTTAAAAAAAAACATATTTAAGAATAAACTTATTTATAAATATAACATATTTAAGAAAAAACATGTTAAAAAATAACATATTTAAAAAAACATACTTAAAGAACATATAAAAAACCATAACTAGATTTTAAAAAAAACTTAAAAAAGACTCAGGTAACCGTAAATCGAGCTTTCAAAGAGTTGAGCGTGCTCATTTTTCTCATTTGAACAGCGGAAATAGCTGTGAACTTCTCTGTGCAATTCCCTTCAAGAATTTAGACTTTTTTATCCAAAAAAGATATTCTACCATAGGCTTAAGATTTAGTTGTAACATTGTGTCACCTTTTTTATGCAAACAATGCCACATATCCTGACGCCATAGGCAGACATATTATTCATTACCATTCCTGCAAAAGCTATTTTCCTTATGCAATGAAACGATCAACATCTTCCTATACTATTTCCCCAACATTATTAAGACCCACTATTTATAATATAGATCTTAAGAATCAATAAATAAAGACCCACCCTTGGTAACTGAGATCTAAAGAACCAATAAATGCCTTAATTTATCCAGTTTATACCTTTTCTTCCTTTTCATTTCTATTTCCATATGTAAACTTCATCTCTTCGCTGATTTGAAGATACACAAGTCTTAAAATTTTTTTTTTTTTAATATTATTTTTTTTCAAATTATTTTATATTCTTTAAATTTTTTTTTTTATTCAAATAATAAAAAATATGTGATCGTCTGGATATTGGTGGAAATTTTTTGATGTAATAATAATTCAAAGTTTTATTACTCATAAGTTATAAGAATTGCATACTTTTTTGTTCAATTGCCATAATTTTAGATTAATTTTTTTATTAAAAATAATAATAACATTGTCTGGATTTTGGTGAAATTAAGGCGAACATCCCCAGAACTGGAAGAAAATCTTCCTATCATTTATATATATGTGAATATTCTTATTTTCGTAATATTAATAATATGTCAGATTTAAGTAAATTAATTATATTTTAAATGATATAAATTTATATAGAACTATTTATCTTTTTCCTTAAAATTATATATATCTATATTATCAATTTATATATTATGCTTATTTTGGGGTTTGATTAAACTGCAAATGCTAAGGCAAACTGCAAATGCTAAAGCAAACTGCAAATGCCAAGGTAAACTGCAAATGCTTAGGTAAAAATTTTTGATATATATTCTATTAATTGAAGTAAGATTCATTTTCTTATGATATGTATAACTTATAAAAATTATATTATTAGATATAATCAATAAAAAATGAATAGATATTAATAGTTGTATTTCCTTTTATCTCATAATAAATAGTTTAAATCCTTTAATATAAATAAATTAAAAAAAATTATAATTACATTTTAAAATTCATTAATATTAAATCCGCATGTTGGCCTATTATTATGTTAAGCAAAAAAATTACTAATTTTTTTTGTTTTAGTATATTTTAAAATCATATTATATTATTATTTAAAAAGGTGTTTGACGTGTTTCGTATGTTTGAGTAAACTGCAAATGCCAAGGTAAATTGCAAATGCTTAGGTAAAATTTTTTGACATATTCTCTATTAATTGGAGTGAGTTCATTTTCTTATGATATGAATAACTTATAAAAATTATATTATTAGATATAATTAATAATAAATGAATAGACTAATAGTTCTATTTTCTTTTATCTCATAATGAATAGTTTAATAAATCTAATAATATAATTATCTTAAAAAAAGTATTATAATAACATTTTAAATTACAATAATATAAAATCCGCCAGTTGGCGTATTTAACTTGTGGATTTAATATTAATGAAATTTAAAATGTAATTTAATTATTTTTAATTTAATTATACCAAAGGATTAAACTCTTTATTATGAGATAAAAGGAAATACAACTATTAATGTCTATTGATTTATTATTGAATATATCTAAGAATATAATTTTTTTTATAAGTTATTTATAGAATAAGAAAATGAACCTCGCTCCAATTAAGAGAGAATATAACAAAAAATTTTACCTAAGCATTTGCAGTTTACCTTAGCATTTGTAGTTTAGTCAAACCGAATAAATTGATTAATTATCTAGTATTTGATTTAATAGTCCAAGCTTGGTAGCATCCAATATAGCACACGCCTTTTTAAAATTTTAAATAATATACTCCACTTTTAATGTAAAATTAAAGAATTGTGAATTTTCACAAAAAAAAATTATAGTCCTAACTTAATAGCATTTAATACAGCACAAACCTTTTCCATTTTTAATGTAAAATTAAAGAATTGTTAAAGATTTTTACAAGAAAAAAATTTGGAATTCTTAAAACTTAGTAATGAAACCTTGAATTATTATTACATCAAAAAATTCCATATCCACACGATCGCATATTCATTATTTTTAAATAAAAAAAATATTTAAAGAAAAACTAAAAAATAATAATATTAAAAATTTCCCCGAGTTTCAATGAGTTTCCTCTTTTTTATATGTTTTTTTTTAAATCTGTTTTTTATGGGTACTTTATGTTATATAATTATTTTTAATGAAATTATTCTTGGTAATTAAAACAAATGATGTATTACAGTGTTGTGATGATTTAATGAAACACGTTGACGATTAAATTAAAACCCATCCATATAAAATATTTTGTTTGCAAAAATAATTAAAATAACAAAAGGAGGAATAAACGAATTTTCTATAAATCTAGATTTTCTTCTTCTTCCCTATTAAAATACCCCCCCCCCCCCTCCCACCCCCCTTCTTCCTCATATAATTATTTGCACTAATTATATTTCCATTATATCTATTATTATACTTTTTATTATGAAGTCGTTGTTTGAATTTTCTAGAATTATGTTTTGGACATGATTTTATTTTTATATTAATATAGAAGAATTAAAATAGATATGTTATGTATTATATTATTCTGTAATAAAATAAATTTATTCATTTAAAAATATTTTTATATGGATGGGTTTTAATTTAATCGTCAATATGTTTCATTAAATCATCACAACACTGTAATGTCTTTCCTTCAAAATAAATAAAAATATATATTTAAATATTTGGGTATATTAATGAAAATTATAAAAAGATAAAAACTTTTTTTAAATAATAAATATTGTCTGATCGAAATTTTTTCGTAAAAATAATATTATATATTGCCGTATAACTAAAAATTTTCTAGATGAGCTATAAATATAAAGATGCCAATGTTAAATTAAATGATGCCTATTGTCAACATTGTTTTCTTTCTATAGAAGAAAGATGTATAAAGTAAAGAAAGAAAGATAAAAAATAAGGCAACTAACGAGAATATATTTCCGAATAAGTTAATTGAATTTAGCAATGCATTAAACTCCATAAAACAAAGTGGCTTTGTGATCTTTTTCATTTAGGATTTTCTGAATATATCATATATCAATAATAATTATGGGAGTTATACATGACTCAAATAGGACTATCCATTCATCAAAAGAGATTCAGCAAAGTGATTCCTTAGGACTTGTTCTTTCTTGCTTAGACATACAAAATCATACACATCTCAACAACAAATGTAATTTATCTTTAATTTCAATATATGGTATCTTGATAATGGAACTCTACTTCTTGACTTCTAATCATCCACTATTTGGGAGATTCTGTTTCACTTGTTCACCAATTGGAGAAATGATTAGTTGTTATACCTATTATAAACAATTTTTTATTATTGTCTCAAAACTTCTTACTAATTCCTAAAATTACACATTGTTTTTAGCCATCTTCCGGTTATATAAATGATGCCATGTTAACTTTTCGAGAAAAAATTAAATTACTTATAGAGAAAATTATCAACCCTAAATTTTCACCACTTGCTTGACAACAAGCTACTTCCCCAAGCAGGTTTGGCGGCATTGACATTCGTTCTCCAAAAACCATTGCTTTAGCCTCCTTCATTTACAGACGGTTGTAATCTGACCACTATTTAACTTATCACGGATTTATCTGACAATCAGCTGATGGCTTTCTCTGCATGTGATAATGAAAAATTAGAAACCTAAAGCCCTGCGGATACATCAAAAATTGATAAAGAGACAAGGTAGCAGGCCATGATAAAACTATCAAATTTATTTAAGATAAAAAAAAAAAGATTAATTTTACATTACATTACAACATGTCTAAATTTTAAAGTTTATATAGTATTATAAAATAATATAAATTTGAATATAAAATAAAATGAAATAAAATAAGTTAGCAAAATTAGCGATATATTTTATAAAAGGTTTTAGGTAGAAATCACGATATATTTATAAAAGGTCATATGTAGAAATCGTGATATATTTTATAAGAGGTTACAATATTATAATTATTTTAATTTTATTTTAATTAATCTATTATTTTATTTTACATTTTATTTCACGTCTACAACAAATGGGATTTATCTTTAATTACTCGTTTCGTTGCTTTCACTAATTCGAACTTGCAATCTGAAGCAGAACCATATTTAAAGTTTGCCAATTTAGATAATGGCTATGAGGGCCTGAAGCTATCCCCAGTTTAAATTTAGAACTGTAACTTCGCATAGAAGTAGGTTTGCATTTGGAATGCCCAATTTTTTTTCTTTAGATTTGTATTTTAAGTAAGCGGCATTCAAGTACTACCATCCTCTCCACTTATAATTCATCAAGGAGAGAAGTATTCAACTGGGTACCCCATTTACACTGGACACCTTAGAATTCAACGCAGTGGACGGAAAGGCTAGATGGCATACTCATTCCATTCAATGAAGGTTAAGAATTAGCTTGAGATATACATGAATTTGCTTCTAGACATTCCTTTCAGGAAGGCATTGTCTAAACGGATACGTTGATATTTAATCCATTTTAACCACTATTATATTTATTCCATTGGGAACGACCACTTTAAGGAATTTTGACCCTAAAGCTATTAAATTTTTTAAAATTCTTAAGTAGTAAAATCTAATTAAAATCTGGAGATCCTAATAAATGGTTTTATCCAGAATAGAAAATCTCAAGGGCTATGTTCAAATCGAATCTAATCTCCATTCATGGTTCAATGCCAGCCATGACATAAAAAATTATTATTATTTTTATTCCTTTTATAAATGTTATTATTTTACCTTTTTTATAATTTTTTTAATGTTTAATTATTTTTATTTTCATTTTTTTAAAATGTTATTTTTCAATATATTCTTAATATACGATGTCTTTAGATTTTGTATAAAAAGAATAAATATATAAATTAAAAAAAAATAAAAGTACATTTAAAAAAAAACAAAAGTCGCTATTCGTTTAATTAATTTAATATTTTATACAAATAAAATTGTATTATAAATTCAACAATTATAAAAATAAAAAATCGACAATATTTATTATGAATGGCACAAAGTTGAGCAGTTTAAAACTTTTTGTTTTTATCATCATAAAATGTTAGAGGTTATTTTATATAATCATTTAGGCCATGTCATTGTCAAGTTTCATACATAATAGACATATTGTAGAGAGTAACTCCTATTTGGATCAGTTCTCCCTCCTATCAATAATTACTAAAATGCTCTATTATATTAAATTGAACACTAAAAGTTGGCCAAAAAGTAATCGCCATTCAGTGGTAGTAACCTTATGGATCTTTCTCTGTATACACATTAAGCTATTTAATAGCTCTAAACAAGGAAAGTTTTAAAAGTAACTAACTAAATTTATAATATAACGAAGGGTATATAACAGTAGGGTGGGACACTTAGGGGCTCGATCCCACATAAGAAATTTAAGAGCCTTCTAAATTTTTTTCAAAAATACATTAAAAAGGTAATTTAGAAAATATCAGTTAAAAAAAATAAAAAAAATTGAAAATATTATTTTAAGAAATTTCAAAAAAAAATTCCTTAACTTTCTGGGATTGTAAGAGCTAGTTACGCCATTAGATATACAAATCTATGTTTTAAATTCAAACAAACACTATTTTATTTAATATGAATACTTCTAAAAAACATATAATTGAAATAGCTGCTCACTCTTTATCTCTGATCTCAGGTAATTTACGGTGTAAAGATATACGATCACTAACAAATTGATTAAAGGCATTGTTTTTCCATCCTTCATCCATTTCTTTTCGTTGTTCAGGATTTAATTTTTTAAAAACAACAGCTTCACCATTATAACCTAAATATTTATAGATCAAAATTATATTGTTTGGCAAACGAATAAATTAATTTATTTATGAATATTTAATCAACAAGGCAAAAGGCTACTGGAGCAAATGTTCTTATAGTCCTTAATATCGTGTCTTGTCTAAAATTTTGGAAATATTTTATTTAAATACCAGAATCACTATAAATTTCCTTAATATATCCTTATAGGCACGGATGAGCTTTTGCCCGGCCTTCAGCCGAATTTAATAATTTTATTATTATTTACATTTATATATAAACGCATTTGATCCTTAACAAACCATATATATCTAATTATGCTGATTTCGATTTTTGAAATTATTATATTTAAGAGGTACATATTTATACAAAAATATAGTAAAACAAAATCTAAAATTATAATTGAAATTAAAAGCGTTAAAAAATAACATTTATAATATTATATATATGGCGTCAAATGTGTTTTTCCAATATGTGTTATTTTCTTAAATTTAAATAATTTTTTGAGGGCGTTTTTAAAATTTCAAAATCTGATTTTACAAATGTATGTCATGTTTAAGACACCTACTCTATGGATTTCAGATAACTTTTCCATGAACTTTTAAACTTAATATAATTTATATTAAATTTTCCAGATATTTTTTATGTAATTTATAAATGAACTCAAAGGTCAATAGCAAAATTGTCTACAATCATAAGATAGATATTCCAAACATGATGGAATATATTTACGTTAAAATCAGATTTTTATATTTTAAAAAATGCGTTCATAAATGATTTAAAATTGTAAATAAAACACATTGTCGGAAAAAACACTGACGCTAACAAAACGGTTTCAAAAACGATACCAAAATAAAAAATATTTGAAAAAAAAACAAAGTAGATATTAAAAATTATATGAAAATAAAATAAAATATAAATTTTTTTTTAGAGGAGTGCATGCTAAGGGAATTGGATCGGCAGATTTTGAGAGAAATCTATGACGAAGGTAGAATCCTTTGTTGGGGTCATCTGTAATCTGTCTTTCTTTTTTACATATGGTTTTGATAAAATTGAAGGCCTGGCTTCCGAACATGCCTAAGGTGTTGGTAACTATTGGTAAGAAGACTGTTTGTGAGACCGTATTTTTTTTATAGAACTTCTGCCTTTTCGATCGCAGAAAATGAGAGGTTAGTCTTCACGTAAAATCGATATAAGTGTAGTCCCAGGTCAAGGATATAATTATAACTAATAAAAGTGAGTCGAACAAGTTAAAATATTTTTTAAGTATATTATAACTATAATATAAGGCTTTAGTTTTCTATATAATAAAATAAAAATTATACACGAAAGTGGAAAGTAAAATGTCTTAATCTTATCATTTGAATCAGAAATCATGGATTAATTATTAAATAAAACTTTCACAGTGCATCAAGGCTTGCAAATTAATAATACAGCTATTAGTACTAGTTTAATTTCACATCTATTTTATCAGAATGAAATAGGATTAGTTAATTTAGATAACTAAATTGTTTTAAATGTTTAATATATGCTCATGCATTTCAGGAAGGGGCAGAAATTCTTCTGAAGGATCAGGGCAACCAAATGTATCCTCATGTAGTTATGTTTCTGATGAGAGTTTTATAGAATTTGGCCGGCCCAAATAGTCTATAATAATTAATTAGGAAAATTAGGAAACCCTCTAAAAAATTTTAATAGGTAAAAAGACATTTTTATAAACAAGCGAAAAGGATATTAGGAAAAATAATAAATGATAACTAATTGCATAAAAATGGATGCCATAGAAATGGTGTTGATATTATGATGGTTTATATTAGAGTTGTAACATGTTAGGTAAAACTAGTAGTTAAGGACATTGGTCATTATATTGAGTTATGACGAGGTGATTTTAAAAGTTAGGGATAAAAGAAACTAAGGCAAAGGGTAATGGTGATCGTAAGTCAAGACCGCCAGATTTTGTTGGTAGAGTGGTTGCAACTATTTTGGTGAAATTTTATGGATTTAAATTTTTGTTCTCTCATTTGTCAATGATTTATTTAGGAAAATTATTTTTTCCTAATTTAAACCTGAACCTGAAAGCGAGCCTGGGTTCAGGTAGATTTCCAAAAAAATCTAATCTATCTGTTTTTTTTGCCTAAACCGAACTAAACTCGGTTTAAAATTTTAAAGGGTTCACAAACCTGTTTGACACATATATATGCTCGTTATCTTAATTTCTGCGATACCTAACATGCAACGTTATCGTTTTACAGACGTGTGATAACTTTAGAAATATCTAGTCCTTTCTATTAAAGGATTAAATAATCGCATCTGACATTTGGCCATCTTTCATACAAATTCAATAACATGTGTTACAACACAAAGTTTTAAGTCGGATATGAGATAAATCTTTATATCCCATCTGTATGTTAAATAAGCAGCAGATTAGATTTTTAAGATGTCAATAGGAGGTGGTTTGATTTTATATTTATCATCACTTGATTGAGAAGTAGATTCAGTTTTAGCAGTTTTCATATCCAGGATCTACATCAGGGCTATGCAGCCAATAAACTTGATAATCAGTAGAAGTCTCGCAAGCCGCTCTCGGGTAAGTAATTTATTAACAAATGATAAATTAATACCAGATAGGTGAACTATGATCTCATGGACTCTGAGAAAATATCTCATTCTTTCTTGCATATTATCTTTCGCAGAAAACAATATTATGAGTTAAAGGGAAGTCAAAAATATAAATAAAAATAAGAAAAATTACCATAAATATTTATTCGCTGCTGCTTTACTGATTTTCTTCGACCCCTATAAATTGAGAACAATTAACCAATTTTCAACCCTTACCCAACTATATACAGAAGTCATAATATTGACTCCTTTTTTAAACATTATATCTTATAAATCCAAGATTAGAAGAATACATGTCGAGGTTCCACGTCAATTCGGCGCGGAAAATTCGGCGCACGACAATTCGGCGCAGAAAACTCGGCGCGGCGACAATTCGGCGCAACGTCAATTCGGCGCGGCGACAACTCGGCGCAACGTCAATTCGGCGCGGCGACAATTCGGCGCAACGTCAATTCAGCGCAACGTCAATTCGGCGCGGCGTCAATTCGGCGCGTATCTAATACAGTTGCAATTTATTATAAATTTATTAGTATAAAAAAAAGGATGATTAAATAGAAATGATTTTGAATGTTGGTCATATTAATTATTTCTTCGTATTTTTTTTACAAAAATCTCAATTTTATTTACTAAATGTGCAATATCAATAAAAAAAAATTAACAACCAATATTTATACCGATTTCCTTGCTGGACCAATTTACCACATTATAAGGTAGGGGAGACTGGGGTTAGTCGGACCGATTTTTACAAAATTTAGCTCCTGATTTTTTTAGATAATATAAAAAATAATATATGATTAGATACCTCCTAAAACTATACTCTATAAAGGTACCTTATAAAAATTTTAAAAATATAATCATTTTTTTTAAATTTAAATTTTTGAAAAAGTAAAAATAATATCCAAAAAGCCCCAATAGCGGAGTGAGGCAAATTCAAGGGGCTTCCTAAATCATTGGTTTTTTAGCCATAATAAATTGAAATGCATTTTTATTTATTAATAATGATACGCATAGAATAATTTTATTGTTTTATTGTTAAAAATATCATAATACTTATAAATTGAAGCAAATTATATATAAAAATTGAAACTTAATTTAGGTTAATTTAATAAACATTTTGGACATAAAGGAGATATTATGATTTCTTAGCATAAATCCTAAATACCAATCATAAACAGCCATGAAATTGCCTTTGTGCGTTAATTCGTTTTTGATTATTTTATAATAGAAAAAATTAGTTAAACATAATATATATTTAAAATGATTAATAGAATTATTTTAAGGATTTTTAATAAATCTAAAAAATGAATCAGTCTTAATTTGAATTTTATTGGATCAACATTAGTGTTGTTAAACGTCCGATTTGGGTCGATTAAGATTTTAGCCATAATAACATGTAAGATTAGAGATAGAAGTCCAAACTTTTCTTACATTTAGCGCAAAATCTCGCTTACATAATATTGGCTACTAATCAAAATAGGGGAGACTGGGGTTAGGTACCGGGGCTTGGCAAACCACTTAATCTCATCTTAAAATTAAATACACCAGATTTTATCATAATATAGTTTTTATTAGTTTACGTCTATAGACAAAAAATCTTTTGAAATAATTATTAAAAATTTTATTTAAGAAATAAAATATTGATGAAGTTTTTATAATTTGGGAAAGCTTTATGAGTATTTATTATATCCAGAAATTTAGAGTTAGCAGGGCTTGCTAAACCATACAAGTCAATTATGGCAGTTAATAATGAAAAAAATACAAAATGTTTATTAAATTAACCAAAATTAAGTTTCAATTTTTATATATAACTTGTCTTAATTTACCCGCTATTGGGGCTTGTTGGACAAAATTGTTCTTTTACAAAAAGTAAAATACAAAAAAAAATGATTATATTCTTAAAATTTTTTATAAGGAACCTTTATAGAGTATAGTTTTAGGTATCTAATCATATATTTTTTTTATATTATCTAAAAACCAGGAGCTATAGCCAATTTTATAAAAATCGGTCCGACTAACCCCAGTCTCCCCTACCTTATAATGTGGTAAATTGGTCCAGCAAGGAAATCGGTATAAATATTGGTTGTTAATTTTTTTTTATTGATATTACACATTTAGTAAATAAAATTGAGATTTTTGTAAAAAAAATACGAAGAAATAATTAATATGACCAACATTCAAAATCATTTCTATTTAATCATCCCTTTTTTTATACTAATAAATTTATAATAAATTGCAACTGTATTAGATACGTGCCGAATTGACGTTGCGCCGAGTTGTCGCCGCGCCGAATTGACGTTTCGCCGAATTGTCGCCGCGCCGAATTGACGTTGCGCCGAATTGACGTTGCGCCAAATTGTCGCCGCGCCGAATTGACGTTGCGCCGAGTTGTCGTGCGCCGAATTTTCCGCGCCGAATCGACGTGATACCACATGTCGAAAAATTTCCAAGAGCATTTTTAGAATTCAATTTTTTTTTAGAATTAGTAAAAAATATTCTTATATATGATTGAATTTATTGAAAATTTGAATATTTCATTTGGTAAAGTTTTAATTATTTACAAATATAAAGATATAGCATATATATATAATAACAATTAAATTAGGTAATAACATAGGTGAGATTGTCTTACTTGCATTGCTATCAGAGACCTTAATGAACCGGCCCGCGGCCTGCATGTCCATACCGACTCTCTGGTCCATAGGCTGAGCATGAGCCTAATATCATATTCTCTAGCGGCCTTGGCATTGGTTTTTTAAATATTTATTTTAATGGGCTGGCCTAAAGTTATTAAATTTAATTTATTTAAAAAATTGCTAATTTAAAGAAATGTTGCTATTTTATCTTCTAATAATAATGAATTTCAGTATTGTAAATAAAATGATCGCCTAAACACAGAAATATTGTTTTTTTTAATAAATACAATAAAACTAAAAATTTTTTTACTGCGGACCTGGACCGAGCTTGGTCTAAAAATTAAGGCCCATGAAGGTTTCTGATTGCTATATGGAACCATGAATATCAATGCTATTACTTTGATGAATAGCCATCATAATGGCTTGTTTGAAATAGAAGGCCTCTTTATGATCGCCACTTAAGAAATTCCTCACCTAAAATATATTGGTGACAAGGGAGATCAAATTATGCCATCAATGTCTGAATATTTATTTATTTTCAAAATTTCTGCCCAACTAATTGCTAATGTATTTCTGCTGTATCAAGCCTTGATGAGTATGCAATTCCAAACAACTATAACACCAGAAGACTAAGATATTAAGGCTAATATCATCAGGTCTTTTGTTGTTTCTTAAGCATACATGAGTAGGCTCTAAGGTATTTATGATACTGGTCCTTTTAAGAGCGTTTGAGAAAAAGTTATTTATGTTTGTATCCCGTGAAAAGCGTAATCTGTTATGAAATAATGTCCTTTGGAATTAGGTGGTAAAGAACAATTATAATTGAATGAATGCGCATCCGAGACGAAGAGAGGTTAAAGGAAGTCTCTTTTTAGTGGGAAGGAGGCCGAGATTTTGTTTGGAAAAACCAAAAGCTATTCGTAGCCCGATTTAGAATAGCTTAGCTGGGCATTGTTTTAATGAATCACTTGATAAAATCAATGGAGTGAGAGATTAGGAGATCCCAAGATTTCTGAAAGGTAGAAGCGAGTTCGCGAAGGTCAAAAATTGCTCATTCAAGAATAAATAGCGCTTTTTAGGTTAGTATCATATAGGTATTGAACTTGAACTGCTCAATTTTGAGAAGAAAAAGGCAGCAAAAAAGAGGGAGAAGGACCTCTCCAGCCATTTTTGAATGAAAGAGTCCTAGAGCTACGATTTGACAGAAAATTTTATATTGACTATAGTTAAGCCTTGTGCAGATATGTAACTAATGCATGAATGGGAAATCTTTGTAATGAAAGTAGGCTGATCTCATAGCATATGTGATCTTGGGTATGTTAAAATAATTTTTAATTAGAAAGAACGTCTAATGGGCTGTTCATTTGAAATAGGCTGTATTTCTACCAGATTAGAATACGTTTTATCTAAAAAGATCTTAATTGGAAAGCCAACCAATTGGAGAACTACAGTAATTCCTGAATTTATGTATATTTGATAGTGAGGATTGGTATAATAGAATTGGTGAGAGAAAATTCCACAAGGCAAAATAATAGTGAACAAAATGGGTCATTTATTTTATATTTTTAAAAATAGTATATTAAATTATGAACCTTATTTCAGGTCAAGAACCTTTATAAAATTGTGATGGTATTTTTGGAGGGTAAAAATTTATCACTTAAATTTGCAGAAACATTCTCTATTATTACAAGTATAATTGATAAATATCAATTTAATCTAAATCTTTATATTTACTCATATTCAGCTGACTAAATTATGTTAAATAAATAAGTATATATTAAAGCCCTTTACGGATTTATCCCACTCCAAATTCGATCTTAAGAACACAGGACGGTGGGCAAAGAAGGACATTATCAAACTATGTTGGATCTGACCTAATATTAATTTTGGCCGAATCTCGGCTATTTTAAATTATTCTCATTTCCCTAATGTTTTCATAAAAAAATTTTTTTAAGAATATGCTTATAATTTTTCCGCTCTTTGAAATATCGTACTTTTTCAACAATCAAATAATTTTTTTAAATTTTTTTTATCGGATCGGACTCAAACCTATTCCTAAAATAAAATTTTGTATAGGCACTAGGATATTTAAATTAATTTTACTAGGATTAGATAGTTTGGACAATTTTTTTTCTCGGGGATGGATCTGAAAAAATTGGTCCGAAGTAGGGTTTATATATATATTATTTAAAAAAATAAATTTTAGGAACCGTATCCTTTGGGGTTCATGATCTCCTCTTGATCCGGAGGTGGCAACACACCTACCCCCGCTTCATCCGGATGTCCGGCCCAATTATCCACTACCTCCGCTATATTTTGATAAATCTTTTTTGGTAAATTGACTATTTTTTGACCGAATCGATGAATATCGAATGGTTGAAGGGGAGATATATTTATAAGATCTTGCGAATCTCTGTTTAAGGCAGGTGTTACAATTTTAGAGGATATATCCTCGTTAAATGACAAAAAAATACATAAAGCTAGAATCCATAAAATGGCAAAACCTATTAAACAACGGCGCGAATAAAACGACGATCTCCCAGTTCTTTTCCTATTGTATCTTTTGGTTAAATTATGAATATAGAATTTTATTTTCGGTAAAAGCCTAGGACATATATATATCGTGGATGACATCCTTCCAGAGTTGTATTTATATCTCGATTTTAAATGATTTTAGGCGGAATAGTCATTGTTAAGTTGATCATTATGTTCTTTAGATTCAAAATAACAAATGATTGACGATTGTTAGCAATTATATTACCATAGATAGTAAAATCTTTTAAATAATATAATATATTATATAATAAAAAAAAAATGGAAGATCCAATTTAATTTTAATAAACCTATATTTAATTTTTTGATCTTTTATAAAGGCGATATATAATCCCAGTAGATCCCTACATTCAATAAATCTCTCTATTTTGGATGAAACTCAGCTCCACTGAGTAGTGTTGTTAAAGGACTCGTTTTGAGCCGATTTTTAAAAACAAATAACTCAATATTTTAGCCAGAAAAATATTGCCTAAGCCTTGAGATTTTGCTAATAGATGTTCAAACCTTTGTTCTTTCTACAAACAAAATCTTAAGTCTTGCTTAATATTATTCAGGATGAAATATTGAGTTAATCGTTTTTAAAAATCGGCTCAAAAAGAGCCGTTTAACAACATTACCACTGAGCAGGCGCGTACGCAGGAATTTGGTCTGGGGGGGGGGATAATAAAATTTTTTAAGAAATATTATTGTTTTTTAAAATTATCAAGCATAAATTTATTAGTACTAATAACTATTTCTATTGCACAATTTTAAATTAATGTGAATTATAAAAAAATTATATGTAAAGAATCACTTAAATGACCCAAAATAGAAATTTGAATTTTTTGAGCTTTAAAATTTATATATAAAGTATAAAAAATTTAAATGTTAGAAATATAAATTAATACACAAAAAGCTTAGGGAATAATTGTATTTTGTATGTTATATATTTACAATGTAAAATCCAATCTTCGTTGGGATTAAGCTATTTTTTCAATTATCTCATCCTTGCTTGTTGTCAAATGCCTATGAATATTCAAAAGATCCAAACCTTTCAATCTACTTTCAAAAGTTGTACTTCTTGGTATGTTTTTCAGAGACCTGCAAGCCCGGCCCCCGGGCCGGACCGTATTGCCGGGTCCGAAATTTAAAAAAAAACATCTAGGCCGGGCCTGAAATTTTTTTTTAAAAAAATATCCGGGCCGGACTGTATATTTTAAAACAGCCTATATTTGAAATCGTTATTATTAGCTATACCTACAAAAATACGAATCGAATAATAGAATTATTCGTATTCGTTTAAATCTAATAATTTATTTTTCGTATTCGTATGAATAATAAAATGATTATTCGATTCGATTCGAAAATTTTATTTACCATGAATTAAAAAAGATCTATTATAAAATTTATTTTGTAAAATTTAACTAAGGATAAAGACAAACAAATTTTATTAGTGAGACAAAATAGAAGTACATATATAATATATTTATATACAATGTGGAAAAATCAATATAATATTCATATCTATAATGTAGATAAATCTGACAACAGCCAATTTTTCAAACATAAAGTTTTTCGGATTGTTTCCTCCTTTAACGACATTCTGTATTATGTAACCATATGAGCTCCAACAGAAAACAGTGGCTCACATGGGGTTGAAGATCCCTGTATCGACAATATGTCCCTCGCCATTTTAGATAACACGGCATTAGCAATATTTTACAAATAAAGTGGTAAAAACTTTAGGCAAAAAGTCAAATTTATGATTTCTCCATCATCAAATGAAAGAGAAATATCAGGTTTGCCCGTCATTCTTGATGTGATGGGATTAACAGTTTATTATAATTGTATATGTTATGTGTTATATAAATTACCTTCTTCGTCCATCTCTATCATAAAAGAAATTTCTAAAGTAATGGTCTATTATGAGATAAATTAAAATGGAGTTTCAAAATTTGGCGCAATTTTCATTATTCCACTTGGAGATTTTATTAAATTGAAATAATTTCAAATAATTCCTAATAATAATATATGATTATTTTCCAATATATATTAATACTATAAATTATTTTAGTCGAATAATCTCGAATAATTCGATCGAATAATAGATAAAAAATTATTAGACGAATAATATATTTTCCTTATTCGAATTCGATTCGAATTTTCGAATCGAATAATTGTGTTATTCGTATTCGTAAAATACGAATCGAATTGAATCGTATCGAATATCGAATAACAAATAATTCGTTTTAGGTATATTATTAGCTATAAAAATCAAAAATAAATATAATTTATTTTTAAAAAATCCGGGTCGGGCCTGAAAATTTTATTTTAAAAAAGGCCGAGCCGGGCCTGAAAATTGAGCTTAGCCGTAAAAATCTTTAAAAAAATCTGGGTCGTGCCCTGCAAATGGTACCTCTGCAGGGCTCTGTTATTCTTCTTAAAAAAGAGGATGTTCTCTTATTAGTTTACTATTGGGAAGAGTTGCTAATATATATAAACCCTTTTAATACATTGGGAATATAATCTAAGATGTGTTTGAAATAATGCAGAGCATCCATACCATTTTTTGGGACTGTATCAACCATAGTTAATCTTATAAACATAGTTATTCAGCTAATAAGGCATCATAAGATACTTTAACATCTTCATGATAAAAATCCAACAAATATTTTTTTTTCTATTACCATCTGAAAAAGGTTGGGAAGGCTTTTATGAAAATAATATTTGCAGATTGGTAAGTGCTGCATAATGAATTAAAAATCATTCATTTATTTGGTTTATAAATGTATTTGTATCTAAGATATACTCTTCTACTGATCCTATATTAATGTTTTAACTATGAGCTTGCCTTGCTGCAAGTCGAGTGAGACAAATATTAAACACGTATAGCTCTGCTTTTGACTTAACAATAACATATAAAATATGAAAATATTCATAAACATTAGCCCTAATTTCCTTGAATTCTAATAAAATGCTCTCCGCTACTCATCTTCTTAATCAAGTCATCATGTTTTTGAAAAGCAATACATAAAATAGTTGTACATTCTAATGAGAAAAAAAATTTGCAATAAGCATTGAATCCAATAATTTTCTTGCTTCTAAGGAAAAATTTCTTTCAGGCCATTGCGATATGTCAGTAATAGCAAATAATCGGCTCTTCTAACTCCATAAAAGCTGTTACTGCTTGATGGCGGAGACTCTATCTCGTAGGACAAGGTTGCAATTTCTTTCTCCCTGTTGGAAATTTCAGAATAATTATTATTTGACTAGAAATTTAAAAATGGTAGATAAATATTACGCTACTAAAAATTTGAAAATAATAAGATAATATTACGCCGGAGAACTTGAAATCGAAATTAATTGATAAACTTAGTGATGAATGTGATAATAAATGTAATTAAATATATATTTAATATGAGATAGGAATAAATATTAACAAATATAAATTAATAAGTACTGTGTAAATTTAATTCAAAACATTTCCATATTTATTAATTTATTTGAATATAAAATTATTTGACTTGTAAAAAGTTGTTAAAATAACATATTTATATATTCTTATTTACAAGTTAAAATTTTTATTTACAAACGAATTAAAAAATATTGAAATGTTTTAAATTAAATCTGCACAACACTCTAAACAAAATTATTTTTGAAAAATATATCCGGCATCTGCATTTTTTGGCTTAAGGGGGGGGATTTGTCCCCCTGCCCCCCCCCTTACCCCCGCTGCGTACGCCAATGCCACTGAGTATAGCTTATTATATTTTATTTATTTTAAAGAATTAAAGGGCGATTCAAAATAATCTTTTATTTATAAAAATTAGAAAAATTAAGGGTGAGACATCAAAAAATAAGGTATTAAATTTTTGGCATCAGAAGAGTAGGGCAGGGTTGTTCAACATCGCTAAAATAAAAATTAGAAACCTATTTACTTTTATTTCTGAGAATTAAGTTTATTAAAAAATTTATGGATTTAAAGTTGCTTTGGTAAAACATTTATTTACATTTTAACAAAACAAAAAAAATGCAAATTTCAATTTTTTTAAAACGAATTTTTACTTCATAATTTAAGAGAATAACTTTTAAACATCCCTAAATAAAAAAGCCAGTGATGCATAATTGAAAATATAAGAGAATTCGCTTTAAATTTATAATTTACATTTAATAAGCCATTCCTTAATGTGTTAGCCTATAATTTTTTTTTTACCCTACCATCCAAAATAATATATAATTTCATAGGTGTTTAGAAAATTTAGGGCTACGTTTCACAGCCTCGGGGTTTTAGCAAATTGAGGATTTTGCAGAAAATGTATTCCAAAATATATTGAGCCGAGTTGTTAAAAAAATATTTTCACTGTATACTGATGACCGTTTTGCGTAAAAATTATTTAGATACAAACATAATATCTATAAGATACAATTAAGATACATTTTTTAAATAATATTTTTTTGATTTCAACCGGCTCGGAATTTTAGAAAGCTTTTTGGCCTATTTCGGATTTTTATTTTTAAGTATTTCCCTTTACAAGTTTTTATATGGTCCTAATATATTATTTTTTAAGGAGCGAGAATAATCAAAGAAGGTTTATCTAATTTAATTCTGGGTGCATAATGATTTTTATTTTTATAAAAAATTAAATGGCGCCTGACATACTCGAACAATCAAGTTTTTTTTAAAATTATACCAAAAATTAATTCAACAAATTAGAGGGTTTCCCATTCAAAAAGAGAAAAGTTTTAATCAAAAAAGAAAAGTGTCATAAAAGATAAAAGTCAAATCAAAAAAGGAAAAACCACAAAAGGAAAAGTGTCAATCAAAAAGTTCCAAAGACTTAGGAAAAAGTTCGATCAAAAAATGAAAAGTGTCAAACAAAAAGGAAAAGGGTCAATCGAATAAGGAAAATCGTTTTCTTTTTAAAGATTATAAAAAAATTGTCAATTTTTCTTAATTTTTTTTTTTTATACTCATTTTATTTCTAAATTTTTGCAATTCTTCAATTCATTTTTAATTTTTTAATCTTT